AAAGTGGATTGGCTGTCGATTGGCATAATTTTTAACCAATCCACATTTCAACGTTTCTGTAAGAACAACATTTGCCCATACGTTTCTCTTGCGAATGAATTCGAGAATCGAGCCCCTGGTATGTATGTACATCCACCGCTTCGTGCTCCCTCCGCTCAGCACGGACTTTATTAGCATCGTTGTCATCGCTGACTGTGTCTAATACCGAAATAAACCAAATATACGATGTTTTCATGCTTGCAATCAACCATTGAGTTAATTCTTATTTTATAGTTAAACGTAACTCCCAGAATTCTAGTTTTTGTTTTTATCCTTGCCTAAAGATTTCTGCTTGCGTTCAAGCCATCTCCTCATGATAACAACGGCAACAAATAAATATTGAATATTTTTCGATATATTTGTTGGTGCATTTCCTTAACTAAGTTCTTCATTTTATATTTAGTTAAGTTATATTTGATTAAGCAAGCATTAATTTTACCAATTCATTATACTGTTGATAAAAAGAATCGGAATCAGTGGCACAATTATGTCCATACTCCATACAACGATATTAATGAAGTCTGTCATAGGCATAAAGCGGCGGATGTATTAGTTGTTTTTTATTTTATTTTTTGCTTCCTCATAGAGGAAGCTTTGTTTTCGTAAAAGAAATTTTTTTTTGTTTTTTTGAAGGTGTTCCGAATGTTCTAAAACGTCGAAAAATTGTAATTTAAAAAAATGTCTGTATGTATGTATGTGTGTGTATGTGTATATGTGCCAAATTTACCGAAATTTCTATAAGTCCAGAACTAATCAACCAAATCTTAACGAATTTTATATGAAATAAGGATAGAAGAAACTGAAGAATATAATAGAATTAATAAAAATTGCTAATAATCAATAATCAAGGGGTTTTTTTTTTAATTTAAATTTTGAATTTTTTTTTTAATGTCCATGGTTGCTCTAACTTCCGCAAATTTGGAGATATCGATCTATTTCTAATTTTATTATATTTTTCAGTCTTTTCTACCCTTATTTCATATATAATTTTTTAAGATTTGGTTGATTAGATCCAGCTTTATACGCGATCAAATAAGATTCATAATTTTGCTCGCATATAAAGCTCGTATATAAAACTAATCAACCAAATTTAAAAGAATTATATATGCAATAGGGGTAGAAAAGACCGAAGTAAAAATTGTTTTTTGAGTTTTTGATGCCAATGTGTTGCTTATGTTTGAAAACGTCGAAAAATCGTAGAGTATCATTAAAGGTAGGTTGGTGTTAAATTATCTTTTTTTTTGTTTGTAGTATAACTTCTGTAATTTTTGAGATATTGGGATGTTTTTTTTTAATTGATAAAGTATCATTCAAAAAAGGTTGGTATTGAATTTGGTAATGATCGGTAAAGGGGTTCTTTTTTTAAAAAAAAATTTGAATTTTTTTAGAAATGTCCGAGATTGCTTTAACTTCCGCAAATTTGGAGATATCGATCTAGGCCGGTATTCATAGTCGGGTCTTATATTCAAGATCGTCTTACACTGTTGGAAAATTTGTGTTAAATATAACATAAATCGCGTCCAAAACGGTCCACTCAAATTTTTGTGTTAATTTAACATAATATGGTTGTGTTAAATGGTAACACCGATACTATGTTAAAATATTTTAACAGAAAAGAAATGTAATTTTGATCGTAATTTGACGTTAGTTATGTGTACAATTAACATAACTTTTATGTTAAAGTTAAGATCGTAAGATAAAATCAACACTCTTTTTCTGTAAATTTTTATTCCCACTTCTGTTATAGAGTAAAATCAACATTTTTTTTTTGTAAATTTTAACACATTTAATAAATACGTTCAAATTGTGTTACTTTAATATATTCTTTAAATTATTTTAATAATTTTACATTTTAAATTTGTTAAGCTCAATTAACATAGCAGGCATATGTTAAATCTACACATGTATGTGTTGATTATTACACAACAATTTTAACGAGGACCTTTTTTAACAAACTTAAAAAAATTTTCCAACAGTGTAAGTATAGTCTTAAAGCGTCATCAGCCAATCAGAGGGCCGTATTAGCATCTTAAGACATCACTTCCTATATGAGGAAGCCAAGTGCAAATTTCTAATTTGCACAATTTGATCACATATAATAATCATACATCTACTAATATAAATTAATATAAACTAATATAAATAAATAAGAGGTTTTTTTCCCGGGTATACATGAAGAATTTAAGAAAAATTTAACTTTATGGAATTACTTTTCTGTTTTATTATATACAAAAATTTTTTTAAAGGAAAATATAGATTTAATCTTTCATTAAATATAATTCGGCAATTTTTTTTTAGTAATTCTGTACTTCTAAAATTGTATATATTTTAAATAAAATTGCGTATTCACAAAATTGATTGAATATAGTTGCTTTTATTAATACTTAAATTTTTATTTAAATAGAATATTTACATACACACTGCTTTTTTATTTTTTAGTTATACAGGTACTTCTGAGCATAGCAATGACGTATTTGTATCTTAACCCTTTTCGGTCACACTTCCCGAGAATCCCGTACCGGTCACACTGGGTGAAATACACCCTCAGCGTGTTTGCACGTGTATAAAAAATTGTAGGTGATTTTAAGGAAAAAAAAATATCCTGTCGTAGTTTAAGTCTTCCTTAAAAAGACTGTTAGTTTTGATTTGTAAAAAATTAATTTAACATATGTAAAAAAATTGTTGAAAAAAAAAGTCGGAAAAGTGACTTTTCACAAAAACTTATGTAATTTTTTCAATTTTTAAGATATTTTAATTTTTCAAACGGTTTTTTCATCCTTAGATGACGCACTTTTCACTCATTATTGCAGTTTATGCGGCCGTTCCAAAAAGTATGTTGATTTTGAGGTATAAAGGTGCGATTTTTTGCAGAAAAAAAATGCCGAGAGAGAACTAACGGGCCGAAAAATATACCACCGACGGGGATCGATACTTGAAGGTCCCAACTACCTGCACATAGCGGCACAAGGCCCATTTCCATTGGTTTACTGAGTCGTTTTCGAAGTAAAAAAAACGCTGGGGTGTAGACCCCATAGTGTGACCGTTAAGGGTTAAACAGCTCTGATAATGAGCCATCGAACAAATAAAATGACATCATTTGGAGATCAAATTGCTTTTGGCAAGAATTTAAAAATCTAAAATTATTTTTACATCACACGTGCGTGGAAAGTGGCCCATTACGCGCGTGACACGCGCGTAATGGGCCACTTTTCACGCACTTTTAATATAAAATAAAGTGTGTAAAACGTGTGTTAAGTTGAAAATTGGACGTGCGGGTGATCGCACTCGCCTTCGGCTTGTGCGTCCACTCCGCACGTCCAATTTCCAACTTACCGCACTTGTTACACAAATAACTATTATATCACACGTGTGTGGAAAGTGTCCCATTCTGCGCGCGCCATCTGTGCGACAAATAGCCAATTTCCCACGCGAGAAATTCCCCACTCGAACCCGTGCAGGAATGAGATATTCCCGCACTGCGTGCATTCATCAACTACCGACAATCAACCAAAAATGAACAATATTAATAGAATTTCAAAAAACTTGTAAAAGTTAAAATAAAGATTAATTACTAATGCTTAAATTTTCGGGGGAAAAAGGACTAAAATTCTTTGCGCTTCGTGTCTCGAATCTCAATACATAAATAATCAAAAGTCCCGATTTTTACCACAATGGACAATACAAGGGCCATAAAAAATAACTTTAATAAAGACACGTATAATATAATTGCTTCAGTCATAAATAATCGAAAATAATGTGCACATGCTATAATGTCTTTCATGCAATAATATAGTATGTACAATATATTTATTATACATGCAGTATTTGTAAAGTTTTTACATCTAATATCTATCACAAAGACGTAAATTTTATTCGTCGTTATTGTCGTCATTATTGCTTGAATATCGACGCAACTGCATAATAATGAGAAATTTGCAGGGACGGCACGCGGAACAGTCTATCATGAGTCCGCTAAGTACGAAGGTATTACTGTGCATTGTACTCTGTTTGTCAATATGTCAATATACTCGAAGCCTGCACTTGGGAAGCAAATCTGGAAACGTCACATTCGACAATCCCATCGATGCTATCGTTTTTGATGTAAATAACGGTAAGACAAAACAAAAATCAAAAAAGTTTTAGTTAATTTGGTAATTATTTAGAATAGGGCCTTTTCCGAATTTTGATATTTTATTGCGGCTCTCTTGGTAAAAATCTTTATTGTGACTCTGACAGTGATAATCAATCGGGGGAGCCCGAAAAATATGTACCCTACCTATTTCTTTTTAGTATCGTTCAACTTTCCACACAAACGTTCAACGTTCAATTTTTTTTTACTTGAAAGTACACATGCAGGCGGGGGTAAATGGGAGTGAACCTCAGTTTGCATAGATATTTCTCTGAACAGCATTGTACTTTCCACGTCATAATTTTTCGGGTTTTCAACTTTCCACCGAAATCTACCCCCACTGACCTTCGCCTACATGCGTGTACTGTCTATACACACATATCGGTAAATTACTTCCTTTAATATTGACACAAACTGTTTGACACCAAAATGACGAAACAAAATAGACATGATTCACAAATTACTACCGGTTCTTTTCAGGACCAAAATCGGTCTTTTTAAGAGTTATTATATATTTATAACGTCGGAAGATCTGGAAAGCCACGTCGGAAGAAGTAGGTAAAAAATAAGTAAAAAAATAGGTATGGTACATATTTTTCGATTTCCCCCGATTAATTATCACTGTCAGAGTCACAACAAAGATTTTTACCAAGAAAGCCGCAAAAAAATATCAAAATTCGGAAAAGGCCCTATTCTAAATAATTACCAAAAAATTAAGCTAATAATATATAATCATTTTTTGCTACACTGAAATTTTTCTTAAATAGATGAAGCAATAACTAACGTAACGGAAGGATCCACAACTGCGTTAAAGTTCACAAGCTTTCCATACATGGTAGAAGTGCAACATATCTTGGGCGATGTAAACTTTAGATCGTGCGCCGGCACGATCTTATCCAAAAGATGGGTTCTTATAGCCGCTCATTGTGTCGGAAAAAACCCTGGAATATTTTTCGTATATTTCGACGTTGACGAGTTTGGCATTGAACAGAGTATTCCTCGACCTCTCGATGGTATGTCGATGATTGTGACTCAAGCGTTTAAACATCCGCAATACGCGCCAATGAACAATGATATTGCTTTACTCTATATGCCACAAGATATTACCTTTTCCAGTAAGTACATTTTAAATTAATATTCCTCTTTCTTCTTCCTTTTGCGCTTATTTATATGTCGGCAGTATTTAATTATTTTATGGAAAATATGCGGAAAGTTAATAACGATTTGAATAATAAGGTGAATTATAAATGTGGAACGGAGACTCGTGGAAATAAAAAATTGTATTGTATATCTACGTACAGCTTCTTTTATAATCTTTGATATATATACTTTGATGCATACTAAAGAAATATCACAAATTATAGAACTACTAAAAAAGTATTACGAATGTATATCATGCCTTAATATTGATTTTAAGAAATTATTAGTTAAATATCATATTTCTCTATTTTAGATAATATTCAGCCAATAAAAATCGCATATTACGAGAGTATACGTTTTGTGACCAAAGATGCTTATGTGGTCGGTTGGAGAAAAAAGAACACGACTAGCGAAGGTACGATGGAGACGATGAAACTTAAGTACGCCACGTTGCCGATTATAGAAAATAATGTATGCAGGCAATACTGGCCCATCAACGGCAACCACATTTGCACGGCCGCAGAATTGGGACAATTTGCTTGTCCCGAGGTAAAACATAGTCACAAATAATAAAGTTATTGTTTATGATAATATGCTGCAAAAATTACAAGTGTGCAATATTCTAACGCGCAGCATACATCATATTATATCGTTTTAGTCAGCTTTAATAAATAAAATTCGAAACTTTCTCTCTTTTTGTAACTGTTATTTAATATTTGTTATATAATATTTTATTTTTAGAGAAACAGCAATGATCCTCTCATCGTAAGAAAAAATGGCCAGGACTTTCAAATAGGTATTATGATGAGTTACGAAGACCAATCTTGTCCTGACAACTTATTTCGAGTGTATACTAAGGTTTCTTCATATATAGACTGGATTCTCGAAGTCATGAAGCGATATTAGTGCATAAATCTAATATTATCCGTATGATCTATAATTTAAATGTATCGTGTATATAGTCTTATAATGATCACAATTCCTTATGAAAAATGTACATGCATTAAATGTACATTGTAATACCAATTTTTTCATACGGATATTACACATTTAATTATTTAATATCATTGATATAATCGATAATTTAAACTTATCAGTCGGTATATTGATAAGCCGGTATTAAAATTTGCTTTTTTCATAAACAATAACTTTGCTCGTTATGAAACACAATATAAAATGTACTTTCAAAATTATATATGTACGGAAAGAATAGTTTTGCTAATATTGAAATATATAAAAATTTGATCATATACAGATTTGAAAATTATCATATTGACCATGGTGATGCTGGAGCCGTTTGTATAATCGACAAAATTACCAGTAGCATAGATATGAGACTTCTATATCAGGGATCTCAGGGGGGGTGAGGGGCGAGGGGAAGGACTCGCGGCCGCGGGGTCTGCCG